GGGGACTTGTGGGTAAAGGCTGAGGTGGAGTTTGTCATCAACAGCACGTTCCAGGTACGTGAACTCAATGCTCCTCTGACAACATCACACAAGGTTGTCACTTTTTATTACACTGCTGGCATAAAAAGCTATCTAATTTATTGAACTTGCCCCAATCAGATTCTGTTTGTCGCTGCTATTCGAGACCATGCTTACGGAGGGATCGCTATTGATGACATTGTGTTGTCCCCTGAGTGCCGTTTATCCAATGGTACTCTAGTTTTTTGCCTGCCTACACTGATTAAACACCACAACTGTACACCTGCCTGCATATTGTCTGTATTTTATAATATGATTCAATAGTCTCTCTCTCTTGCTTTTTCCTGCATATAGAATCAATGCCACCTCCTGCTCACCCTTGCACAGACGATGATTTGAAAATCTGTGACTTTAAGGAGGACTGTCCTGCTGGAGAAGATGAGCCTCAGTGTGGTGAGTTCCTCCTGTACTAATATATGTGCATGTTCAGTGTATTTGCGTGTTTTTTTTATTTAATTATATAATTACACACACACACACACAAACATATTTTACAATTGCAATTTATATGAGACTGTTTAGTTTTACCTTTAAGATCTTTTCCACAGTGACATTATTTTCAGCCTATTTTGTACTATTATTTACATTTTCACATTATTATTTGCTGCCTGATTTGTGAAATTAAGCACATTTCCATGTAATGCAGCCTCATTCATTTTTAGATTCATGTTAATCTTTTAACATTATTTCTTGACTATTTTGTGCTATTTTTTTTTACATTTAGGAACATTCTCACATTATCTTTTTCAGTCTATTTTGTGCAATTAAGCACATTTCTTGTTTTAGAGTCACGTTTCATCTTTTTAGATTGTTTCAGATTCTCATTGTCAGAAATGATTCTCACTAAATTCTGTCTGATTATATCATCATCATCATTATTATTATTGTATCATTTCAGCCCAATTTAATGCAGTATAGCAAATACTACCATAATGCCCAATGGGACATTTTCTATTTATTTTATGATATAAAATAATCATATTCACACAATGTTGTGTACATAGGGGATTTTTCATATGAGAAGGGAAGCTCTGGCTGGACAGATACCAGTATAGGGAGCCATGCCTGGGAGTTAAAACTGGAGTATAATGACACCATGAAAGGTGGAAAAAAAAGGTTTTTATTATGATGGAACTAAGAAAATAATGTGATGAGGTAACTTAATTTAGTTTCGTGTGTGTGTGTGTGTGT